AGTTATGTGATTTTAACTATATTGACTTATGTGATTAACTATAAGAGTTCTGTGTTTTTTCTTTTTTATTATTGTGAGCCGCCCAGAGTCACCCATTGGGGGAGATGGGCGGCATACAAATTTGAAAATAAATAAATAAAAATAATTAAAAAAGGAGCAAATGTGAATAATGCAATCATATTAAAATATTGGAAAATGTGATAATTATTGAAGTCAACATGGGTTTGTTAATTAATCTCACTTTTTAAGTGGGCAACTTTCATAATAAATTGTGGAAGTGCTATAGGTGTAATACATGTTGATTCATTAAAGCATTTGACAAAATTTTCTGTGACATTCAGATTACAAACCAGTTGAGCACATGCTGGATGTCATGAGAATTAAATGGTTGCATAGCTAGTTTGAAAATCAGACTAGGAAATATACTATTTTTCAAGTACAAAATTAGATGTATAGTCTAAGGTCTATTTTCTGTCATCCCTGGAGACAAGGCATAGATAATGGATTTTAATTCCAAAAAAGCAGATTCCAATTAAAAGGAGGGTTTTCTAAAGGAAGAACAGTTTGAAAGGGAAGCAGCTTGGCAATAGAAACAGTTACCCAGAGAAGTAGTGAGCTCCCCTCCATTGGTTCTGTTTAGATGGAGCCTAGACTTCCATTTGGAATGGATGCTTTAATTTGGATTCCTGTACAGAGCAGGGAATTGAACTGATTCTGTAATTTGTCAGAATTCTTGGTTAATGTGTTAATTTCTCAGCCTCATCACATTTATCCTGTGACCTAATTAAACATGGTGTGGGAACAGGGCCAATAAATAGTTCTCAGACATTTTTAAGTATCAATTCTTCCTCTATGCTTCTAGATGTTTTCAGTGCAAAAATAGCAGTGGGATGGGAGGTAAACAGGACTTCCTTCCTTCAAAGGTCCTGCTAAAATTTCCCCCTCAACTTGGCCTTTCTTTTCCTGTCTCTCTTTCCTGCTTGTGGGGAATTTTTCTTGCTACTACTTATTGTTGTTGAATTGTTGAAATGTTGAATTCTCACATCCCAGCCTCTCTGGCCCAGTGTATTTAGGTAGACTTAAAGTTGATATTTATTTATATTTTTTAATCTGACGCATGAATTGCATTCAAGGAAATTCATATTCTCTCTCTTATTGCCAAAAAGCAACTTTGGGTTTGTTTATTGGCTGACTGACTGTTTGACCCCTTTATCTCTACTTTGAATTCTATTGGCTATTTCTAATGTAAATTTAGTATTTGTATTTGCCCATAGCATGCCATTAAGGATAAAAACAGCATTGATATCTGGCCATATATCCTCATATCTACCTGGTTCTTAATTGTAGATGTTGATGCCACCTGCAGTGATTTTGATTTTGGAACTGCCTTGCATATTGCTGCCTTCAACTTGTGTACTGGAGCTGTAAAGTGTCTATTGGAACATGGTGCTAACCCTGCTTTTAGGGTGAGATGTTTATTTTACCACATTTTTGTTTTTGAATTACAATGATTGTTTTAAAATGCTTTGGATAGTTTTAAATCGGAAGCATAATATATCAAAAATGCATAGGAAAATAATGATGTGTAAACTGCATTTGTACTTCTGTTTGTTTTTAGATACTTCTGTAAAATAACTGAAATTCCTTGATGCTAGCAATGAAAGTTTAGGATCTGTCTGAGAAGTTGCCTTCGATGATGATGATATATGATATATCATCATCAACGTCATCAATCTTCATTTCTGCTCTTGGTGTATCAATAAAAAATTGTTTAAGCTTTGGCTGTTAGTTATTTAATAGTTATTAGTGTGTTAATAGCTGTGTTTTGATTTGGATTAATACTGTGTCTGAATTCACTCTCCTGATTTGGTGGTTATTGTTCCACAGAATGACAAAGGGCAGACACCCTCTGATGTGGTTCCTGATCCAGTAGACATGCCACTGGAGATGGCAGATGCAGCAGCAAGTGCTAAAGAAATCAAGCAGATGCTTTTAGATGCGGTACCTCTGGTTTGTGATCTTTCCAACGTAATGCTTCCAAATTATGATAATGTCACTGGAAAAGACATGCTTGAATCCCTTGGTCTAAAACTGGGAGATCGAATTGTCATTGCAGGACAGAAGGTATGTTTAATAAGTAAATTGTGAAAGGAAAGTTAGCTGGATTGAAAATGTTTCTGGGTTTATATGTAGGGCTGTTGACTTGAAATGGGCTAAATGATTCTCCCGATAGCTCTGTCATATCAGCTAGTAAAATTTAATTTTTTAAGGAGCATCTGTAACTGCTTCACTTGGATACAATATATAAAAGTTGCACCATCTTTGCCCACCTAAGGAATATGCAGCTGTTCTCTGTCCCGAAACTAACTAGCAAACATAGTATCAGGTTGATTACCAGTCTCATAAAACTGCACTATACTTTGCACGTCAAAATAAATTTTGCAAACTTTAAGGATCCATATGTTACTCCTATTAACATTATCAGTTTTAAGTTTTAATAAAAAAATGTGAATTGTGCTTGATTACCTTTAAAAAGAATTCTATCTGATGCAAATATACTTTGGAAAGCAAACAACTTTGCCAACAGAAGTTCAGTACCTGGAACTCCAGAGAGCTGTCATACTTCTGATTTGTTAGAAGATTACATGTCTCATAGCTACCCTAGTTGCTATTTCTAGAAACTGGTCAAAGACAAATTAATTCTTAGCTTTTAATAAAGTGTCAAGCAAAAAACACAATGGTTCCAGTAAAAGTTCTGAAAGAAGCTAAGATTTTAGGCAGGACTAAATTAAAGCTTCAACTTTGTGTAAAAGATAGTAGGCTCTTTTGGCTAAATATTATAAGCTTATAATTTGGCATGTTTGATAGTTTATGCAGTTTTATTTAGTGGCTAACAAGTAATCTGAAATTGGTGGTTTGTATGTTAAAATGTTGTATAAATGTACTGTATTGTGCAGATATATTTATGTGAGCCAAAATTAGCATTTTGAGAATTTTAGCATTTGCGTCAAACATAAAAGAATTATATTTTTAGGTATTGTAAGCATCCAGTTATAGGGTCATAGAACTGGAAGAGGTTTTATAGGCCATTTACTTTTTAAAAATGTATTTATTTGTTCTGAAGAATATGTATGTTAACCTTCAAAACCATTTTTCCAGGGTGATTTGCAACACATTTAAATAAAAAAATTAAAGTTTGTAATAATAATTAAACTACCCAACAAACTACAATAATAAAATACATGATAATATAAACACAAGACCATGAAAGGAGTAAAGTGTTTGTATGTATCATATATGTTTAACATTAAAACATTAACTCATTACAGTGTGGGAGAATAAAAACATGTTTGTTGGGTGCCGAGAAGACAGTAATATTGGCTCCAGGCACAACCACTGGAGAAGGTGCCCCAGAGTTGGGAGAATACCACTGAAAATGCCAGCTCCTGAGTCCCATTCACCAACCCTCTGCATTCATTTATTTATTCAGTCTATATCCTGCATTTCTGTCTATAAAACAGAACTCTGAATATGATGTTAGGATATGAATAGGACACAAACTGAAAGAGACTTTATTTCAGATATTGTGGTCTCAAGCTGTAAAGGGCTTTCTGGAACTAAAAATGAACTTGAGAGCCAGTGAAGAATGTATACAATTTGCGCAATATGTTCACTATACCTAAATCCAGTCAGTTCTCTCACTGGTAATTAACTGAAGTTTCTGGACTGAGGTAGCAAGCTCTGTCCAAGTAGGTTTGTAATAAGTGCACCAGTCTCAAGTAATAAAAGACATTTCATGCCACAGGGGCTATTTGTATTTCTAATTCAGAGTTAGACTTCATAAATATCAGTCATGACAAATATGATTGATTTTATCCTCAAAGTGTCTAGATAGGTATCACTGCAATTTGAGCTTGTTCTGAACCAGATTCCAGAAGACTCTGAATCACTTAGAAAAGCTGTAATGGACATTACTGAGAGGACTTAGTAGTGGAGGAGAAAATACTGTTTTTTCATCTTAATCATTGCCACTGAAGGCTTGATGGGTGATGGATCAAATTTAATATGAGTTTTCTACCACCTATGTTATAGTTGTCTTCCACCTTGTTTCATAGTCCTTGGCTGGAATGTATAATAAGGCTGGACAGAGTTCTGCACAATGGTAGAAGATGTCTAGAAGTGCTCATGTGAACTATTCAGATCATATTCATATTCCACAGGATGACTAAGAGCATCCATCATTATTCTGGCCCAAAAACTCTTGCAGAACTTTCTAGAATCCATTATAAACCATTATTTTTCAATTTGGGTAATTCTAATTGGTACTTTAGCTCTCCAGAGAGGAAGAGTTATTGCAAGTATAAATTAGAACAAGAAATGTGCTCACTGTGACAAGGGAACAGATTTAAATTCCCCTGGTTCAGACTGCTGTCCTGCCCAATAGATCTGAGCATACCCTACTACCCGAGTTAAACAGCAATACATTGGGCAGAACCATGGTTGTTATGGTTGTCACAAAATCTTGAGCTGCTCCAATCATGGTTGTCCTAGATAATGAATTCCTCCAGTATTATCATTCTGGAAGTCCTCAAGACCAAGTCTGCCTCCATCACTGTCGGCTTAGTTGGGGAGAGTGCTGAATAGCAAGGTGGGTGGTTCTGTGACACAATTCCTGTACTATCCTTAGCACACAATACTTAGTCAAGCATTCTAGGTTGGCACTGCATGAGCAGCAAATCTGAAACAAGAAAGAACATTCCTATAGCCTTTAATTAACCCCTTTTCTCAACTCTCATCTGTTTTGGTACTGCAGTAAGGGAGGCAGCCAGACTAACCCACATACATACATAAAGCTGTCCAATCCAAGTTTAAATGGTACAAACCAGATCGAACCTTATCCATAATTACATAATGGATGAGAGAGGTCTTACTCACTGACCCACCATTTAAGAGCAGCACCTGCAGGCCAGAGGATGGGGCAGTATGGTTACCATAGTTTGTCTGTACAGGGGAGAACCACCATCCCTGCAAGAAGGTCAGGTGTTTAATTTCTTTCCTTGGTCTTTAATTCCAAGTGCTATACTTCCCTGTATCCATAGTAGCCCTTAGTTGGAGCCCTCTTTCCTCCTATGGTATTATGAGAAGACTGTCTCAGATACATAAAATTAAGCAGAGGAGGAAAGAAAAGTGGCATTTAGTCATGTTCTGACTCAAAAAGGCTTTCTGCACATTGTGTTGTCAGTTCTGCAGAAGTCAGTTGACCACCTGCTTTGGGCCTGGAAAAGGCACCTCACCTGCTATTTCAAAGGCCTTTACAGCCTGGTAATTACAGTCTTCAGGGGGATGGAACTTTACTCACTCTGGCTTTAAAATGGAAGATGCAAGTTGCTGTTGGTGGAATAGCTGTTGGATGAAGGAAATGGAGCACTGGAAGATTCCCACTTGAAGGCTTTTGTTAAGAAAATTAGCAGCACTTGTAGGCAGGGCAAAAGGAAATGGTGCTTTCATTTTAAATTCTGGAATTGGGAGAAGAGCACCACAGGTACAACTCTTTTGCCTTGTTACTTCTCTTCCCCTTTATAGCATTTTGATACAAGCTTTAAATATGTTTCTTGGACATAGGTAAGCTTTAAAATCAATAGAACAATGCAAACGGGGAGAAAGTTATAGAAACAATGGTAGAGGGAACATTTTGGTGCTCTTTGGGTCTCCTCTTCTAAATTCCAAGTTGGCCATGAGTAAAACAAGAGAAAATGAGAAGAGACTTTTGTTCTTAGAACTGTAATAGCATAAAATGTAATAGAGTAAAAGACAGAAATAAAAAATTCTCGTAACATTTTCTAGCCTCTGCTTAAGAACTGCTGCAAAACACACACACACAAACACACGACACACAAACCAAATTCTACCATCCTTCTAGGTGATGGTTCCATTGTCCAGTTACACTTCCTTTCAAGAAGTTTCTCCTGTTCAAAATGAAATCTGTTGTGTCAGTGATGTGTGGAAGAGTTCATATAACTTTATATGAGTTCTGGACTGCTCCTCTACCTGTAGCCTTCCATTCTTGTGTTAGGGTGAAGAACTATGGAGAATAAACAAATTCTATGCTTCAGCTTTTTGTTTGAATTGGAATAATTTCAGAACATAATTCTCTTTTTTCACATTCAGCCTCCTTTCAACCTAGTTGAAAGTATACTTTTTTTTCCAGGTTGGCACATTACGATTTTGTGGCATGACAGAATTTGCCAGTGGGCAGTGGGCTGGTATAGAATTGGATGAACCTGATGGCAAAAACAATGGTACTGTTGGAAAAGTGCAGTACTTTAAGTGTGCTCCAAAACATGGTATTGCTTTTCATTTTTAAACCTCTTCATATTTCTATCATATTAAGCTGTTTTTTCATTTGTCTAGTATTATCTGAGTCAATCATTGAAAACTATCCAGCTAAGTCCTTAAGTAATTATTGATATTTGCTTTCTCTGCATGCCAATGTTGTAATTTAGATTGATACTTCTTATTCCTATTTCCAGTACTGCTCTGTACTTTGGTTACTTGTGATATCCACAAATTTTTGTAGATCATCTGAAATTGATATGTAATAAATTGTTGTATTTGCTACTGATTACTAGGAGGCACTATGTAACCAATTTCGTCCTTGTATTGTGACTCATCAGGATAAGTAACTTCCATATATTAAATGTGTGTGTGGGAGAGAGAATGTGTGTGTTTAAATCCCGATAGAAGGTGGATCTGTGTGTGTGTGTGTGTTTGTATGTATGAATGCATATATGCAGTAGGCATAGGTAGCCTCCATATATTAGATAATATTTGTGTGTGTGTGTGTTGTATATGGATATGTTTGTGTGTATGTGTGTGTTGTGTATATTCCTCAACCTTTTATCGGAGTTTGAACTCATATTCTTGCTGCCTCTTTCTCTCCCACACACACATATTTATTATTCCAATTTATAAAGCTGCCCATCTCAGATATATGATTCTGGGCAGCTCATAAACAATTAAAACAATATAAAACAGCAAAACTATACAGCAATTTATAAACAATATTAAAACATTAAAAAAAATCACAAAATCCATAGCCAAGGTAGTCACATCCATCGATAACAATCAATACAGCCACTGCACAGGCTCTGCCATACTCCTGGGTCCACAGGCCCATTGGCAGAACCACATTTTCAGAGCCTTGCCTTGTGAAAACCCAGCAGAAAGCCAGCAGGGTCAGGGTCAATCTGATAACAGATGGAAGTTTTCTAGTTTGAGAGTACAAAAAAGGAAAAAGGAAGGCAATAGCATCTGATACTTAGTAAGAATGGAAGAACCAGAAAAATAACTAGGATACAAATGGCTAGGGCCAGTTAGACTAGTCCTCATCTTAGTCATAACTTTGAAGGCATATTTGTAAAAGCTTTAAATGCTTGAATGTGCAGCGTGCTTTATTTCACATCCATAAAATAGAAACTTAGCTGTATTGTAAGCATGAGAACTATTAAATGCTCAGAATACAATTCCTGCACTGTTACAGGCTAGAAAATGTTCCAGGATCAAAATTTTCTACAGAAATTTTTCCATTTTAGGCAACTTAGGCAATTTCATTGTTTTATAATATTTTATTGTTTGATCGCCTATTGCCTTATATTGCTTCCAAATTTTCTTCACATATCAAAGTTTCTCGTTTCTTTGAATGTGCTGTTCAAGCCTCATAAAAACAGGTTGTATTTCACCATGTATCTTTTCTGCCAGGTATCTTTGCACCACTCTCTAAAATAAGTAAAGTTTCTGGACACAAAAAAAGTACAAAAGCTCCCTCCTCACGACCTTTGCCTACAGTCAAATCCAAGAAAATTGATGTAACCCACATAACTTCCAAAGTGAATTCTGGTAAGCATGGGAGTGCTTTATACTTAGTTTAAGCAAAAGAGAACTTCAGGAAGTATAGGACAGTTTTCGGACTAAAATCAAAATTCATAGTTTGTAGGCAGCCTTCAGTCTCAGAGACTTAAGCAATAAAAACTGTTATAGTGTTAGTTTGACAAAGATTAATTAGGAATAAACCCAACGTGCATTGATATTGTGGGCTAATGTGTGTTTTCTCCTGTTTTAATTATTTTGCTGCCTTGGCATATTTAGCAGACATCTGTGGCTGTCTTAGGATTTAGATAAGATTCTTTCCCAGCCCTAGAGTTCGAAACCAGGACCTTTTAATGCAAAGCATGTGCTCTGTGCACCGGGCAAGTACTCTGATCTTTTTTTGGTGTTGTGGATTCTCTGGAGCAATCTTTCAGGAATTTTCATTTTCTTTTAAACTTTTAAAACATAGCATTAATATTCAACTATTTGGAAATAGTTCATCTTGCTAATTTTAATACCCATTTTTGATTTCTCAGGCTCTTACTTTCTTTCAATAGTATCATTCCAATGTCAGCTTTTGATACCATCCTCTGAAGATTGTGGGAGCAATCCTAAGCATGATTGCAGAGGATGTTGATACAGCTACTTTCCTTCCTTATTGTTAGACTTTACTCCCTCCAAGTAAAGAAGGGGGTCTATAATTGCTTCAGTGGAAAACCCCTGCAACATCTATGTCCATATGCATACTGTAGAATCAGTTTGGATGAAGGTTACTTGTAGTTTCAGATTCAAGTTCTTTTGCTGTTCCAGCATTCTTCCAGAAGAGAAAAAATTCAGCAGTGTTTGAGCTGGCATATTTTATTTTCTTGCTCGTTGAAATCAAAGGGACAAGAAAGTTTTTAAAAGGGGAAGCCACTTCGTGCTGCAACTTTTTGCCTTACACTTGGAAGCACATAAAGACTAAAAAAAAAAAGTTATTTTGAAAGAATTTTTCTGTTCCCCTTTATTACATTATTCTGGTAGGCCCTTCATTCATACCTCTACCTTATACATGACATAAAAATAAATCCTTAACTTTTGTACTTCCTTAATGGAGAAACTAACTTTTTTTCTCCTTGGTAATGAAGATTATCTTAATTAATAGAAAAAGGGTTTTAAAATACTTCCTTTTCTCTTAATAGTTATTTTTAAAGGAAATATTTTGTTATTTGAATTTGAAAATTCAAATTCTTTTAATTAATGATTATTTTGTCAGATTTATTTTTTCCTGCAAGATCAAAATTGGTATATTGATCTATAAACACATTTATTCCTGTTAGTCTTTCAGGGGTGATTCCACCTTGAAAATCTAGTAAAATCTAGTACATTACATTCATCATTCAATACTGAAAAACAACAACAACAAAACAGCTGGATTAAGCTAATAGGCAAGATTTAGCTGATGAAAATAAAGTTCTGTCCAGTATGATTTCTGCAGAGTTTTGTTCATTGCTAACTCTGACAGGTTGTGTATTTTAGTATGGAATACAAGTAGTCCTCACTTAACAAGCCTAATTGGGACTGGCAACTCTGTCACTAAGTAAAACATCACATGATCGCACAGACTTATGATGGCAGTTCCAGCCAGGTTGTGGTAGTTAAGCAAGACATCATGTGACTGCAATTTGCAATCTCCTGCCGGCTTCCCCATTGACTTTGCTTGTTGGAAGCTGCTGGGAAGGTTGCAAATGGTGGTCTCGTGACTGTGGGACATTGCAACTGTCATAAATGTGTGACGGTTGCCAACCCAAATCGTGATCACGTGACCAAGGGGGCACTGCAGTGGTCGTAAGTGTGAGGACCAGTCATAACTCACTTTTTTCAGCACCACTGTAACTTTGAACAGTTGCTAAATGAATGGTTAACCAAGGACTACCTATAGAGGCTAAATGCAATATTGCTAAGCATTATTATTTTCTTTGCATGGAGGGTTGGTATACATCTTACTTAGGCTATATTCTTTTGGCAAATAACTGCTTCTGTTGTAGATTGCTTTTATATGCCTATTTAAAAAATAAGCTTGGATGGTTCAAATATTTTAGTGCTAGCTTATACAAATCGGAAGTTACAATATGAAAGATCTGTGCTTAAAATCTCCTGTGGTTTAATTAGTAGCAGACACATTGCTACTGTATCTCCGAGATCTCTTCAACAGAGGGTCGAAGGCATGTTGATCTAATATTGATTTTACTGGCTTGTGAAATGCAAGAAAGATTGGGGCTGCATGCACCTGCAGGAGGAAGGTGTTCCACAAAGTGAAGTCTACTACTGAGTCTTCCAATATTTCATTCTCCTTTAGAGAGAAATATGATTTGTATCTGTTTATATGTTTAATTATATCTGTAAAGGTTCAGAGAATATGCAGAAAGATGTTTTGGAACTATTATTTAGACTACAATGGTTTCATAGATTTGGTTTGGCTTACAGGCTTATCAAAAAAGGATGGTACTTCCAACTCCACACTTCTAGGCAATGAAGAAGGAAAGAAAACTGCACCAGGTAAACAAGGTAATATCTTTTTCAGATATCTTTGGCTGTTATATTGGGTATGAATAAGAGAAATCTATAATGATGCTGTTTTAATAATTTTGGATAACGTTTTCTACTCCTTGAAAATTCTGTTTGCTTATACCATGATATAAAATGCTTTTTCAGTGGCACTTGTGTACACATAGTAGTGCTTGACTAGAAGTCTAATGAGCTGAAACATGTATAATAATTCATCCTTATTTTAGCTGTAAACTGCTTTTAAATCAAATGATAACACACATTGCATAAACTGAACTTGAAATCATCCATTTGTATTCTACTTCTCCACAAGATATGCCCAAACCGATTGATTGATTATATGGCATCAAGTCACTAATGGTAATGACCACATAGATAGATTTTCTTCATGATAATCTGTCTGTAATTCAGGTCTTCCAGTGGTGCACGCATTGCCATTGTAACAGTCCATCCACCTTGCTGCTGGTTGTCCTCTTCTCTTTCTTTCCACCTTTCCCAGCATCAGAGCCTTCTCTAAAGAGCTAGATCTTTGCATAATGTGTGCAAAGGATAATTTGTGCCTCAAGTGAGAACTGGGTTGATTTGTTCAATGATCCATTTGTTTGTTTTTGGCTGTATGTGATATTCTCAGTTTTCTCCTAAAAACCAAGGTTCAAAAGTGTCAATACCCTCTATCCTGCTTCTTCAGAGTCCACCTTTTGCTTCCATAGAGTGTCACCGGGAATATCATTGCTTGCATGGTTCTGATCTTTGTAGGTATAGACATGTCATGGCATCTGAGTATCTTTTCCAAGGCCTTCATGGCTGCTCTACCAAGTGCTAGTCTGTGGCATATTTCTTGTCTGCTTGTTCCTTTACTGTTGATTGTTGATTCTAAAGGCAGAAGACAATATCTTAATTGTCAGTTCTAAGGCTAGTTGTACCCATTGCATTAGTTTGGTGCTCATTATATTTAATCTTAGTCCTGTTTTTTCACTGTGCACCTAGACTTTTATTACTAGAACTTCCAAATTATTTATATTTTCAGCTATCAGAGTAAGTGTCATCACTATAGCACAGGTTACTGAAGTTTCTTCCTCCAGTTTTAAAACCATGCTCATCTTCTTCCAATCCAGTTCCCTTTAACATATATTCAGCAGATAGGTTGAATAAATAAGCAGAGAGTATACAGACTTGTTTCACTCCTTTGCCAGCATGGAGCCAGTGTGTTTTGCCAGGTTCTGTCTGTACTGTAGCTTCATGACCTGTCTGTGAGTTTTTCATGAGGACAATATGATGTTCTGGAATTCCCATTTTTCTAAGCATGTTTCACAGCTTGATGAGATTGACACTGTTGAAGGCCTTTCTATCATCAAAGAAGCACATACTGTCTTTTTTCCTTTGGTATTCTTTTTTTCCCCCTATTATCCAGTGTGCATCAGCAATAATGCCTCACATTCTTTGGCCTTTTCTAAAGCTAGTTTAATCATCTGGCATCTCTTTTTCCATATACGTAGGATTCTAATCTGCAATGGATGATCATAAGCATTATTTTGCTAGTGTGTGAAATTAAGGATACTGTACAATAGTTTGCACACTTCATTAAGTCTCTCTCTTTTTTTCATATTGGAATGTAGATTGACTTCTTCCAATCTGTTGACCAGTGTCTCGATCTCTGGATTTGCTTGCAAAGCTTGGTTAGAATCTTTACTGATTCTTCTTCTGTTGCTTGCCATATTTCTGTGGGTATTCCATCAGTTCCTGTAGTGTTCTGACTTGGTAATGACTAGAGCGCTGATCTAACTTCATCTTCTAATACTAGAGGTGTAATTAGGGAATATCTTCTAAGGTAGCTTGCAAGTGGACATTTCTACTGTATAGTATTTCAATATACTCCTTCCATCTTTGTTTGATCTTCTTTGAATTGGTTATTACGTGTCCCTTGGTGTCCTTTAGCATACCAATTTGAGGTTGGAACCTCTTTCTGAGTTTGGAGATCTTTTGGAAGACATTCCTTGTCTTTCCATTTCTTTCCATCTTCAGTGTCTTTACAGATGTTGTAATACTGCTTCTTCAATTTTAATAACTCTCTGAAACTCTATGTTAAGTTCCTCCCTGCGCTTTTATTTTTCTTGACTTTAGCTTTTCTTCTCTTCATAGAAATTCCCATGGATTTTGTTCTGGTATCCAGTTTGATTTCTTGATCTTTGGCAATCTCTTTTCACATTCATCCTTAACCACTTCTTCAGTTCCTCTAACTCTCTATCAATGAAACTTAGGACTTCAAAGTAATTCCTGATGTTCTCCTTGAAAATGATGGGTATATATGCCCAAGATCATATTGTAGAAAGTGGTTGACTTTCTTCTTCTTCTTTAGCTTAACTTGGAACTTGTGCGGGAGCAGTTTGTGATTTCTTCCACAGTCAGCATTTGGCCATGCCTTTAATGCTATAATTGAGCTCCTCCACCTCCTTTTAGCAATAATATAGTCAATTTGATTTCTGTGGTTCACAAGAAATCAGAGCTCATCCACAGAGCCTTCTTGCTCTGGCTCTGAAACAGCCCACTTAACTTTCACAGAGGTTATATCTTCACAGACGATCTTCCATCTTGCTGCTGAGACAGAATGAAGCCAGGTCCAGGTGATCTGGCCAGAAAGTGGTGTTTTCCATGGGAAAACAGAAGAAAATCTCCTATATGAACATTCTAATGCATGTGGAGGAAATTTTTTCAGAGGTCAGAAACTTGTTGGACTCTAGCTGGTCCACTGAAGGATTATGCTGTCCCAATCAGCTGCTGGGCTTTGTGCCTCTATGCCTATTTCTTTTTAGCTGTGTAGAGAGCAGCCAAAGCAGAACTATTTTCTTTTTTAGCTTGTTTGGTGAAAGGAGTATTGACTTTGTAGAAGACCAGATGTGGATCATCTGCAAGGTCAACATTCCCATTGGTAAGCTCCTAGCAAGGATGTGCTGGAAAGTGGCCAATAGTTTTAGGGAGTCCTCCACAAGAGGTAGTTCCCTGGCCCTCGCCAAGCTATACTCTCTTGATGAAGTAGGTGCTATTGAGCCAATCTCTCCCAGAAGCTGGGGAGAGCATGTACAGTTTCTTCAGCTATCCTAGATGGTGGCTGCTGTACTTGCCCACAGAAGAGAAGGGAGAGGAAAGATGGGTGGTGATGGTGGCACTGGAGCTGGCTGTGGGCAGTCTGCACATGGGCAGAGATGGACATGGCACTTGAAGGCAGGGTAGGTTGCCTACCAATTGGTGCTGAGTCCCCCTTCTGATATTTTGGTTGAAAGGCTGCCAGACATGTCTAGGGGCCTTTTCTCATTCTTCTCATTGTGTGTTTCAAATACTGGGCCCAGGCTGAGTTGCTGCCATTGCCTCTTTCGCCTCTTACCAAAGACCTTGCTGGAGAGCATGGCTGCTGCACCCAACAACAACAGCAATTGCTGCCTTCATGTGAGGGCATTAACTTTACTAGCCTTGTTCCTGAGGCAGGGCAAAAGGGAGCCAACCGTTTTCAAAATGGATTACTTTCCTCCTGTCTTAGGAGGAAAAGGACAGAAGGAAAGTACATTGATGGGGCTGTGAAGAAGAGCCCTCCGATGAATGACAGTACAAATAATAATCCTAAATGCACAGACAATTATAAGTAATCATAGTGTTCATAAATAAATGCATGCTAAGGATCTCAAGCCAATCCATACAACTAATGAAGTGAAATGCAACAATACACACACACACACACACACACATATATATATATATGATAAAATATAAATAAATAAATCTGAATAAATCCAGCATGCTAAAATCAAACAAGAGAATAAATTAAAAGCCACATAGAAATAACACGAATACTTAAAAAATGGAGGAAACGAGTTTTACACAGTTAACAGATGCACTTTGGCTGGCACTGGTGGAATGCCAAGTCTCTGTCAGGTTTCTTCTTCACTGAGGCAGCTAAAAAGGCTTACACTTTCAGATTCCCCATATTCCACTCTTTTAATGTTTCTCAGATTATCCCTATAATGTACCCTTTTAACATTAAGATAGCAGAATTTATTAAGGTCCAGAGCAATAGAATGGGGTGCGACTGATAGAAATGTTTGGTCCTTTGATACTAATCTCTCCCTGCTGTTGGGGATGCTCCATCCCTTTCATTGCAGTGTAATTTTTCATCACATTATGTAGTGGAAGGTTTTGTTGATGAAATGGAATGTTCTATTGTAAAGATGTATGAGCCTTGCTGAAGATCTTAAGATGTTTGGCAAAATACTAGTTCCAGGGCGGCTTCATCTGATAGTCATACAGATTGTGATTTTTCCAGTAAGGGTACATACTGCAAGGATGTTTTCTGCACATTGGTACTTGCACATCCTAAAGCCCAATGCTATTTGTAGCTGAAAGAGAAATTAACATTATCTCTGGGTCTATGGATGAATAACCTGAGACCTAAGCATCAAAATCTTTAGTGTCAGATGAAATGTGCCAGAAGAGGAAGTTATAAAAAGAAGAGACAGACAGACATAAATCTTGATAAGGAGCTTGTACATCAACATTTCACAAATTGAAATGAAAGTGATTTACCTTCCAATCTTATTTCATAGACAGGATTTTAATATTAATATGATGCATAACAGCATGCAGTAGGCACTAGTCCATGCACTTCATAATTCATCCACAAAATGTCATTCCCCCTGTTTCTCATCAAAGATTTAATAGACTAGCTATCAAAAGCAAAGGACCGAGATCTTTTATTACTTAAGGCTGCATTATTTTTACATTTATGCTCTAGGCTTACAAGTATTACACACTAGTAACATAGGATTGAAAAACTAAGTGGGGTCCATCATGAGCAGTTAGTTTTATGCTCATGAGGAATGAAAAATGTGACAAATTGACATTTCCTTTCATGCATTTGTTTATGTGTCTTCTAGCTGAATAACTTTATGTTTTATTATTTTTAGCAAGTTACCTTGGATTTAGTAGCTCTTCATCTTCAACTATATCATTAGACAGCAAGCTGAATTGTCCCAAGAAATGGAATTCCACAAGTAATAAGAAGGAAAACATGAAAGACCATCCTATTTCATCCAAATCTATGGCTGGTAAAACCTCTGATGAATTATTTGTTGTAATAGAGCATTATAAGTATAGAGATATGGGAAGCAAGCAAAAGCTTCAGCACAAATCTAAACTTCTCCTAATGCAACTGTTAAAATCTATAATACTGAGATTTTCCCAGTAAGTTTTGTTGTTCCTGGAAGTGTAAGTGAAGTGGCAAGGGAATATTTGGTAAGTACAGTTGAGCCAAAAGCACTAGCCCAGCTATGGGTCTTCTTATGCAAACTCTGTATAAACTTCATCTTTCTAGTTTACTCAATACATAATGGGAAGAGAAGGAATTTCCCCAAATTTTCTCATGTTCTCACAATATCAGAGAATGCTACAGTTGGGGTTTCTGTGCATGCATAGATAACTAGGCTCAGCTTTCAAAGCCACTGCCTTAGCTTTCTAGAGGATGCAGCTGCTTTTGATGCTATGAGGACAGGTGCTTCTGAGTGCAACCCTGGGAAGTATGTCTTATCTAAAAATCACTAGGGCTGCTATGGAAGAAAGTAGATTATCTACAGTATCACAAATGATGGTACAGAAGATAAGATAATTTCTTTGGCTGAAATTGTTTAGATTTCACATATTTAAAATGAGTCATAAAATAACTGTGATATAAGCCTGTCTAATAGTACCAGTCTTAATTCCTTGTATTTTGTAGATATTGTCTTTGCTAAACCTAAAAAATGCATACAGATATAATGTATTAGCTCTTTTAATCCTGTTTAGTTCTGTTACAGCATAAATGAGTGTGATGAGCCTATTTGTGAATAATGAATTAATAAGTGTTTTCTTATTTGATGTAATTTGTATATCTCCTGCATTTTGTGAACCCAATTGAACAGAAGGAAATAATACTTTTCTATCTGCAAAGAGAAATGCTTTTGATGAAGGGGAAATTCAGATTGGAGACAGAGTACTGGTGGTAGGACAAAGAACTGGAATACTTAAATTCTATGGGACAACCAAGTTTGCACCAGGTAAGTTCAATGCTTGAATTATAAGGAAGAATTTAGATAAAATCCAGAAAACTAGTTTGGAAATTGGTTGATCTGCAGCTTAAGGGTAGATTCTATAGAGGAAAGATTTTATTTTCTGTTTATATGTCTATCATGTTTGCCTTTCAATTGTCATTAAAATGTGTAATGTGATTTCCATAACAAACAACATAGAATATTGATTAAATATTGTGCAGTTAATAAAATAATGAATAGATTTATAATAAAAACCCATAGCAATTACCCTAAATAGCAATAGTAACAAGTAGTTTAATCTTTAACATAAAGTAAGCTACTGCCTAAAACTCAGTATAGTATTAATTGATAATTTCTGAAGAAAATGTTCTGCAACAAATGCACCAGTGTAGAGTCAACTTTTTTTTTCCTGTTTGAAATGATGAAGGAATTTCTCGAACTTAGCATTTAAATTGTGTCCAAAAATATACCAGAATGAGACACAATAAAGATACAGTGAAGCAATTTTCTAATCTTCAAAATAGTTTTCAAAAACAGCCCTTGTACATTGAAGCAATTTAATCTGGGTATTTCTAAAATATGAATAACTGGCCTTATTGAAGACCCTCCCCCCTTGAAAAAAAAGGTATGATGAATATCCTATCGGCCAAACTATGTACAAGCACAAGGGGCCTAGTATACAGTATTGTAGTGGCAGGCACCTTATAAAGACATTTTGTCTAGTAAGTTAAATAATTTTAATTTGAGTGTAGTTGAGTGTAAATTACTGGCTTTATAGATAGTTATGGAGTAGAACATTTAGCCCCCTGCTTATTTTATTTTGAAAAGATTTATTTTGAAAAAATATTAAGTTAAAATGCTTAGTCATGATACCATAGTGCTTTTACCTGGTTGATACCTAAAAGGTTTTGTCATCTACTTTTAGCTTGGTTAGCTGTTTATTGTTATCTCTTATTTATGTTGTTTGGATGGCCCCTCTTAGGATTTTAATTAGATCTTGGATGTTTTAACTTGTTTTATATTCTATGTAAGCTCCTATTTGATTATGGTGAGGTAGAAATGAATAAATAAATAAATGGACCACAGCTTTTTTTAACAGATGAAAGAACATATGGAAAAGGATAGATAGAATAGATAGTCTTATCTACTCTACCTGATTGGTTGCATGTTGGAAGAATTAATAGAAAAAATGAGTGCCCTAATTCTTACAAAAGGGATGTACTAAAAAAGTTAAGTTGCTAGTCAGCAGCAATAATTGAGCATGTCTGCTCTTTTTTCAAGAGTCTATAGTCTTTCTGTAGTCTCTCACTTGAGCTGAGATAATTTAAAATACAGTATCCTAAAACTTATTTAATTGCATAGTTTCTGATAAACTTGCAGATCTGTCACTGTTGCCTCTGAAACATTGATTATTCCTCTAAATTGAAAACTCTGTGATTTTAAAGCTTTATTGTTCTTCCCTACATTGAATTGCAGTATTTAGCAACTGACATCCCACTTTCCTCTCCTTGTTCCAACAGCTTCTTTGTATGTAGCAGTGAAGTTAAATGCTAAAATACAAGTTGAAACAAATTTGGAGAGAACACTGTTATCTTAGTAGTTTATTGAAGTTGATTTATTTTTTTGAAACAGCCTTCCCCTTCCTTTGGTTCTGCAGATTCAAAGTGCTAGGAGCATTTCTTTTCAAATGGAACACTTTCTTTTTAATGAACAATAATATTCCATTTGAAATAATGTATTTCTTGTTGTAGGGCTTTGGTGTGGTATAGAACTGGATAAACCTCATGGCAAAAATGATGGGTCAGTTGCAGGCATACAGTACTTCAGATGCCTCCCCAGATATGGTGTTTTTGCACCACCATCTAGAGTGAAGAAGTAAGTATCATAGTCTATGATTTCAGCACCAAACATTTTTCATTGTATTACTTTCATTCAGAATTTTTTTCCAGTTGGGGGGAAGCATGGGTCAGTATCACTCTTGCCAAAATTAGATCATGCTTGTTCTGATATAAGCTTGGCCAAAGAAACTAGTAAGTCTTCAAAGCTAATGTGAGGTAATCAGTAAAGTTGAGTTGTATTTTGAGCTTCTTTAAAAACGAAAGCAGTTGCATCTGATATCAGTATATGGCATCTACTAATTGAAAGAAAGATTTCTAAAATCTTCATTTCACTTCTAGTAGTACAAAGTAGAATTTAGCTCAGTGGTAGAACACATGCAAAAATTTCTGGGTTTAGTCTATGACATTTGCAGGTAAGACTGAGAAAAGTCCGCAGTCTAAAACCGTACCCAGTGTGTTTAGATAATTCTGAGCTAGGTAGATGTTTTGTATTTCTAAAGAGAAATAGTTAAGTAAATAATTTCTTTTGTTTAAGAACAACTCTTAATTATCTACAGTAAAACAGTGATTTCCTTTGTTACCCTGAAAGCTTTGGATATGAGCCTGGAGTTCTCCAAAAATTGCTACTGAATTTTAATATTTAAAATGACAGAAATGGAAATTATTGATTACAAAGGGTCTAACCATGTTAATTACAATTACTAAATTAAAACATAATGTCCTTTACATTAAATCAGATATATTTTGTCCTAGTCCTGCTCTATGTACTCTTTGGAGTGCAAACTCTGGTATGTCACTGAGAAGCTAAGTTGGCCCTTGGCCCCCCAAAATAATGTACAACAGTATATTAGGGTATATAAACTCTTAAGGACAATTTTAAAAATTCAAAACAAAATGATACATGTTTTTTTTACTAAGTTGGCTAACGTTTAAGTCTTGCTAAGTTGCCGTACAGGATGGAGGAGATGTTGCTGGGAGAAATGAGCAAAGAATGCAGGAGTGTATTCCAAAAGTATATATCCCACCAGAGTCAGCTGAGGCGTGAAGGTCATCCCAGCTACCCAACTACAGCAAACAGGCACCTATAGCAGACAGCAGCAATATAGGAAGATGTGGAGGCAAATGATCACTTTAGTGACAATGGCAAAAGCATAATTTCATGCTGCATGGGAGAAGGCAGTAAACTACCCTGTGTTATACTAATAAAACCACATAGATAGACAAGATTAAGAGATTGATGATATAGTGCCAGATGATGGGCCTCTTTAGTCAGATGGTACTCAACATGCAACTGAGGAAGAACTGAGGATCTTCCAGAGTATTATTGGTGTTTATGATGTGGCTAGATTAAAGCCTTCATAACATCTAGTTAGCATGAAGGGAAAGAAAATCCAAAGCTACAAAGACAAAATTATGGTGGAAACATGGGATATAAGAAACAAGAACATAGGAGAACTCAACACTGAAAGGTGAAATAAATTGACTACACATAGAGATCTTAGGCATTAGTGGACTGACATGGACAGGAATTGGCTGCTTTCAGTCAGAAGATCATATTCTTTACTACTTGTAATGGTATGTGGGAATGACCTTGGGAGACTGGGTGAAGAGATGCAGTTAAAGGAATGGTCGGATAAAAGGCAACTTAGCTCCCAACAGGAATGTAAGTGGAGCAAGAGGCTCAGAAGAGACCCTCCCTAGTTTCTTGGGCTGTAAATGGGATGAGGGGAGAGATATACTTTCAGACTTACAAGATTCTGTTAATGTAACCTTAAAATAAAGTAGAATTAGCTCATCTGGCCATGTTTCCTGTCTCGTCTACCTTGCAAAGCTGACACTATACGTGAAAAACAAGGAACGGTGTTACTTTCATGGTCAGAAGGGATATAACAGAGATAGTCCTTGAATACAATGCAGTCAGTGACCAAATAATATCAATTAAGACTTTGAAGACAACCCTTTAGTATGACAATTATTATGTTCTACCCACTGATGCAGAAGAAGAGGTTGATAAATTTTATGGTCAAATTCAGTCTGAAATTGACAGAACCTGAAAGCAAGACGTGATGCTTATGATTGGAAGGCCAAAGTTGAAAAGAGTAAGGAAGTAAATGTAGTTGGACTGTATGGCCTTGGAAGCAAATGAAGCAGGAGAATGACTTATCAGTTTCAGCCAATTTAATTTTTTCATTGCTAGCACAGTCTTTAAACAACCAAAACAACACCTATCTATATTGGACATCACCAGACAGAACACATAGAAATCAAATTTACTATATTATTGGTACAAGGAGATGGAAGAGTTCAGTTAAAACCGCAAAGACATGGCCAGAGGCTGACTGTGGAACAGGTAATGAACTGCTCATCTGCAAGTTACAAGTAATCTAAAGTGAAAAAACGAGCCAGCCAGTTTCATGATATGATCTTGAGCATCTATCCCTCATTTTCAAGGAAAACACCAGGAATCGCTTTGAAGCTCTGAACTTCATTAATAGAGAACCAGAGGAACTGTGGAATGAACTGAAAGAAGTGGTTAAAAATGAATGTGAAAATAGACTGCCCAAGATGAAGAAACAGAAGAAAACAAAGTAGTTGTCATAACAAATGGTGGAACTTGCCAGGAGACAAGAAGACAAAGCCAAGAAAGACAAAAGCTGTTGGGAAGAAACTTAATTGATGGATTAACTATTAAATATGGCAAGCAACAGAAAAAGAATTAGTAAAAATTATAACCAAACTATGCCAGCAAATCTGAAGAATGACACAGTGGCCAACAGATTGGAAGAGGTCAGTCTATATACCAATACCAAAGAAGGAAGGCTTAACAGTGTGTGCAAACTATTGTACAATATCCTTAATTTTACATGCCAGCAAAATAAAGTTTAGGATCATCCAAGATAGATTAGATCCTTACCTGGAAAGGGTAATGCCAGATGTTCAAGCTAGTTTTAGAAAAAGCTGAGGTACAAGAGTTATTGCTGATGCATGTTGGATATCTGAGGAAGCCAAAGAATACCAAACAAGTCAATATGTGCTACATTGACTATAGAAAAGACTTTGATTGTGTCAACCATGTCAAGCTGTGGAATGTCTTTAGGAGAATGGAGTCCCAGACCATCTAATTATCCTCATGTGAAGCCTACTGACAAGACAGGAAGTCAAAAAATAGACTGGCTCCAGGTCAGTAAAGGATAAGCTGTATACTCTCTCCTTATTTATTTAACTTGCATGCTGAATATAGATAGAGGGAACCTGGATTGGAAGATGATGAGTGTGGTTTTAAGCTGGAGAAAGAATAATTTGCACTGTGCTGATGATACTATTCTGATAACTGAAAATATATATAATTTGGAAGCTCTAATAATGAAAGTCAAGGTGTGCAGTGTAAAAAGTGGGACTAAGGTAAAGAAGACCAAACTAATGACAGCCAGTCCTACAATTTACAAGAGATTGAAGTGATAGATAACTTCTGCTGTTTAGGATCAACCATCAATTGTAAAGGAAACACACTCAAGAAATATGGTATGGGGGTATGAGGACTCCTGCCTTGGGCAGGGGGTTGGACTAGAAGACCTCTAAGGTCCCTTCCAACCATATGATTCTGTGATTCTATGAAATATGCCACAGATTAGCACTTGGTAGGGTAGTAGCAGTAAGGGCCTTGGAAAAGATAATTCAGATGCCATGATGTGTCTACACTTACAAAGATCAGAATTGTGCAGGCAATGGTTTTTCCTGTGACACACTCTGTGGATGTGAAAGTTGAATGTGTAGGATGGAAAGAGTATTAATGCTTTCAGATGTTGGTATTGGAGAAGATTGTTGAAAATGCCATGGTTAGCCAAGGGAAAAAAAATGGAATATGGAACAAATCAACCCAGAGTTCTCACTTGAGTCCCACATGACTAGGCTCAAATTATCATATTTTGCATATATGTGAATACCCAGCTCCCTTGAGAAGTCCATTTTGCCGGAAAAGATGGAAGGAAAGAGAAGCAGCAAGGTGAATGGACTTGATTACCAAGATGATGGGTACACATTGGGAGGCTTAAGGGGCCATGTTGGGGACAAGTCTATGTGGTCATTATGAGTTGACACTGATTTGATGGCACTTAAACACCAGTTTTGCGAGATTACTATTAAACTACAGTCAGGACCAGAAATATCGGAACAAGGATAACTGTTTTGGCATTTGGCCTCTGTACACCACCACATTGAAGTTGAAAGG